GTTTCCCCCTCTCGCGCAAAGCGCGAAAACTTTGACGTTTCCTCAAATTATTAGAGAAAAAACACGATACGTTGTACCGTTTTCGACTCTAAATAAGCCCTATTAATTTTGTCTGAATTCAGTTTCTCCCTCTCGCTTTGACGTTTCCTTAAATTATTAGAGAAAGAAGGCGATTCGTTGTACCGTTCTCGACTCGTCTAAATGAAGTTTTCCCCTTCCGCGCGAAGCGCGGAATTTTTGGCGTTTCATCACAATATAGAGATAGAAAGACGATTCCTCGTACCGTTTTCTAATCTTATTAAGCCCTATTCATCTGAATTCAGTTTCCCCCTTTCGCGCGAAGCGCGAAAGCTTTGACGTTTCCTCAATTTACAAGAGAAAGAACACGATTCGTCGTTCCGTTCTCGAGTCGTCTAAATGAAGTTTTTCCCCTTCCGCGCGAAGCGCGGAATTTTTGGCGTTTCATCACAATATATAGAAAGGAAGACGATTCCTCGTACCGTTTTCGAATCTTATTAAGCCCTTTTCATCTGAATTCAGTTTCCCCCTCTCGCGCGAAGCTCGAAAGCCTTGACGTTTCCTCAAATTATTAGAGAAAGAACACGATTCGTTGTACCGTTTTCGACTTTTAATAAGCCCTATTTGTCTGAATTCAGTTTCCCACTTTCGCGCGAAGCGCGGAAGCTTTGACGTTTCCTTAAATTATTAGAGATAGAAGACGATTTCGTTGTACCGTTCTCGACTCGTCTAAATGAAGTTTCACCTTCCGCGCGAAGCGCGGAATTTTTGGCCTTCCATCACAGTATAAAGAAAGGAAGAGGATTCGTCGTACCGTTTTTGATTCTTAAACCTTGTTTGAATTGAGTTTCCCCGAAAATGTTAAACCTCTGATTTCTTTAGCTGAACTTATAGGAAAGTGAAACTTCGAGAAAATACAAGTATTGTAGTTGTAGTCACTCTCGAAATGGTCACAACGGATAAGAAATCACAGTTCGTAGGGAAAAAAACTTGTCGGCCGACCAACAATATACATCTCACCGACTTTAAACTTCTGCATTGATATAGTACACGAGGATCGAGCAAGAATACCGACACAGCTGACACGACACAGCAACATATTTACCCGTGTCTTGCTTGCTCCCTCGACGAGACGACTCCACCCAACAACCCCTTCTCTCTTTTACTCCCACTCCTCCTCTCTCAGACTCTTATCTCCCCTCTCTCTCCTCTCTTTCATCCCCCGTATTTTTTGTTTCCCTTTCACTCTTTTTTCTTCTTTTTCCTTTTCTTTCTTTTCTTTCTTTTCCTTTCTTTCCTCTCCTCCCTCTTTTTTTTTTCTCTTTCTTTCTTCTCTTTTCTTTCCTTTCTTTTCCTTTCTTTCCTTTCTTTTCCTTTCTTTCTTTTCTTTTCCTTTTCTTTTTTTTTTTCTTTTCTTTTCCTTTTCTTTTTTCTTTTCTTTCCCTTTCCCTCTCTTTTTTCCCTCTCTTTTTTTTCCCTCTCTTTTTTTCCCTCCCTTTTTTTTCCCTCTCTTTTTTCCCTCTTCCCCCCCCTTTTCTCTTTTTCCCGACGGCAGCGCAATTTTACCGACAAAATCCTGACAGGTGGGGGGTGTCGCACCCCCCCACACCCCCCTTTGGCGACGCCCCTGGTGACATGCTGGATTTCCTTGATGGTCTGCATTGCTGAGTTGATGGGCTCGGCGAATGAGGGCGTTGGGGACTGATTGTAGTACGGATGGATGGTGGAAGGATCTAGTGAAGATATCTATCGGTGTGTGTGGGTTTCCTGTAGACTTGATGAGCGGGCTTGCCGGAAGGTGATTTGGTAACGAGAACGTCTAGGAAGGGGATGCTGTTGTTCCTCTCCAACCGCTATAGTTCTCCTTAGAATTTTATGCTAAGAAAGATCCTTTTCAGGACTACCACACCCCCAATTAAGAAAGATTACTGAGTCAGAGTCCTTTTCAGGACTCATCAACACTCTCTCTCTCTTACATGGTGCACCCGCAAATCTACTGTATTGATACATGTTGTTTACATACTTTTGTCACTGAAATGATGTTCAAGTCTGTGATAATTAACTTGCCTTTGTTTTGCCATTATAATGTACATATGTAACCTATGTACCTAGGTATTATAATCTTCAGGTTTTTGCCACGAGTGGATGCTTGTAATGTGTTGATTCTGGCATTTTTTTAATGTCATTTTTGTTGTTGTTATAGAAGAAGTTCGTGCTATGTTTCATACACTGTACAATTGATTTGTTGATTATTGATACATGTTGATTACATACTTTTGTCACTATTTTGATGTTTAAGTTTGTGGCAATTTACTTAACTTGCCTTTATTTTGCTATAACAATGTACATACATGTATGTAACCTAATATTTCTATATATTTTGTTTTATATACCTCACTTAAGAAATCCAGCCATCTGATTGGTCGAAATTGCATTCATAAACTTTAACTATTCCTGTAAAATTCCCGGTAAAATTCCAAACCTATATAAAAAACCGGATTATTATTATTATTATTAGTTTAAAAAGATAGTTCTAAAATCCCAGTAACCATGGTTACCCATAGGTTTACATGTTAAAAAATGGTTTGAGCGATCGAGGATACCGTACGTGTGCGAAGAATCGGTCGGTATTTTCATACAAGACTAGACAATTCCAAACAAGACAAAAATGGCTAAAGAAACTCTCCCAAGATTTCAACTTATCAAATGCAAGACTAGATGACAACAAGAACAACAAAAAGGGTACGTGAAAGTATCCATAAACATGTTCGCTTAGTTGCTGAAAAAGCATAGACTTGGACGAAAATATATCTAGTAGTCAGGATGTCTGATCGCGCGCCCGATGTTGTGTGTTAAAATTCTTCCCATAGAGATTGCACGCAATGCAGTCTACGTGCATTGCGCGACCATGCACAAAAAGTCATTTTTTTTCAATTCGAGATTCAAACCTTTCTCTGTTGTGATCCTGAAGGTGATACTCAATAAGTGAGGTGTCATATGAAAGCGCAGGTTCTTCTTCATATTCCCCACAGGGCCGGCCCACCCCCAAAATTGTAAAACTATCTTGCTTAGACTAGAATCTAGATCTAGTCTACTCTCAAAGATACACTCATAAAAAAACAACCGTGCAGATAAACTAGAGAAAGGCCAAGGTGTTGTCATTAGTTGACTCTTTTGTTTTCGGCATGTAAAAGTATTAATGACTGCTTTAATATTCGAGAAATAGTTGTTTTTATACGCTCAAGGGCACGCCTCGGGCAATAGCACAATTCTAACCTTCCCTTGAGCGTATAAAATCAACTATTTCTCTCAAAGCAGTCATTAATACTATAATATTGTACAGTTTTACTAAGTGAAGATTGATATGAGGTGTGCTCAATTTAGTGTGATGCAATATCGTTTTCAAGAAATTTGTTGAATGTCATTATTAGGACATATCTGTTTTATTTAGGATGCATACTTTCTCACTACAGTTTTGTTTATCTTCAAAGTACATTATGTCCAATGAAATATAGTCAGTACCAGGTCAATTTTATTGTTCATCCCCTCAAAATTGATATCGGTGTGATAACTCAACTGCCAAGTAGTATTTCCAGTTCTCATTTGCTGCTTAGTCTAAATCACCCAGAAAAATGGAAATTGATATGTGTAAAGAGAAGTTTGCACTTTGCAGCACTGTTTTCTTTTATTTTGTAAATGAAATCTATAAATGCAGGTAATTGGTTGGTTGCTCATGTATGTACATGTAGACTGAAACGGTATAAGTTGAGTTTCTGTGGTAATATGCTTTACTTGCCTTTGTTGTGCCAATTCATGCCACAGAATTATATGAAAAAATGTTTGCAGAAACTTATGTATACGATGATCATAAAACAAGAACCGTAATCATCATTTATTACTCGTGGTAGTATATATACATTGACTAATTGTTCTAATTTATTACTTGCCAATGTTTCGCCATTTGTTACGCTTTATACCATATTTACATTATAGTTGTTTATTAATATTGTGAACTTTAATTCATTTTGAAAGAATAAACATAAGAACTTGGTGGATACCAATGACATCATGTCTTTCAAATTTATTTCAGGATTGCGTGAAAAGTATGTCATACAGTGTACATGTAGTTTGCCTACTTCTCTCTTCTTCGCATATTTTTTTGTTGCTTATGTTTTTTTTAATGCATGCTTTTGTTGTTGTGATATGTACAATGTATGAAGGTGATTGAGTGGACATGTGCTAGCATAATTATGTTTATTGAAGAATGACATGCGTGCATGTGTGTGGAAGGGGTCTTAATTGGCACTTTGGACGAGAATAATTTAGTATCAGTGAACTCTATGAATAAATGCCCCCCCCCCTAAAAATATGATATCAAAAAGAAGCTGTTTAGTAGGCCTATCTTGAAAGAGGATTTTAAAAGTTAACTTTTTTGTTTTATCTTGGTCTGGCATGAAAGAGAACCAAATTCAACTTCTAATAAGATTAGATAACTCAGCCGACTTCAAATTTGAAGTGCAGCTAAGACGATATCACAATGCCTTGAAAAGAATATCAGAAAAGCTTTTAACTGTCATCGTGTGCATTATGTTCGACTGGGCTTTGATAGCTGAAAAGATTGAGGACCCAGCAAAATGGCGGCGTGTGCACTCGAGCGTATCTCCCAGCGAGTACGCCACACGTCGATCTGTGCATTGTGAATAGGGATGAGCGTTCTTCGTATATAAGAGTTCTGTGCCTATAGTGAATGAACTTGATTTGTTTAACCTTTAAGGGCAAAGAGTGGCCTGCGTACTTTGCCTCAGTACGCATATTCAATCCAAGACTAAATAGTTCAAATTGAGAGAGTTGTTATACTGAATATGGATTGTTAATGGAAATGCAGGTCATCGATTGTATGTTTTATAAAACATATCTTTGGTTAGAAATATACAGGTTGCAGAATTAATACATTATTTATTAATTTAGGCGGAAGAATATTATATTAGAGCAGAAAGAAAACCGGTAGTGGCATTGTTCAACCAACTGCTTGAGGAGAGTGGATTAATTGACAATCAGAGACTAGCAGTTTTGCAGTAGAGTTTCCAGTATTCTGTCGAGGTATGTTAATTGATTTTTATTATTGTGTAGAATAAGAAATATAGTCATGTCATTATTGATATTGAGTAGAAAGAATGAAAGAAAATGAAGTAATAATAGTGAAACGATTGTATCACTGTGTAGTTATAGGGCAGGGAGTTGAGAGTATATAGTTTGTGTGCGGTAGAGTAGAGCTGTCGTGCATTACCATGAGTCTTTGTTCTATAGCTGATAACACATCTATATGTACATCTGTAACATGTACATGTAGTTATATAGTTAAGCGTTATTATGGTATTGAATACTGTAGCTAGGGTAGTGTACTGAGGAAATTATGGAGCGATTTGATTAGATAGAGATATTTGATTGGTGCAGCTTTAAAGGGACTCGGTAACATTGTTCAGATGAGAGAAAATCGTGCTAATTAGGTAGTGCCTTAAATTATGTACAATTAAAGATAATCTAAAAATTCGATTGAAAACAGACCATTATTAATGATAAAAACTGGGAAAAACTTATCTGATCGATTCCTTAATTTTCCCAACTATACATTATAATTTTAATACAAGTACACTTTAGGTGAATTTAAATCGTCACAAAGTAAGGAATTTGGCTCTATATACCATTCCAGACATTTAAGTATTGAAAGATTTTTAAAAGTCTATCTTATTTCTTGTTTTCATGGAAAAGCGGTTGGGAAAATTCAAAAGTGGGTTGGGAGAATTTACTGTTAGAGGGTGTCGCGTGCACAGTGACACCTTCAAAGAAAACCATAAATATTTTTGTGATTTGATAATTTTTTCAGGATTTTTTGCATGTTAGAGGGTTAGTGTACAGTAGAAGGAATATGAATAGTAACATTTCATTAAAAAATTTCGCATTTTTTTCATCAACCTTCCACATTGTTACAGAGTCATTTTAAGGTCAGTCAAGACTGTGTTGCGCTGTCAGTAAGCAATATTCTAAAACAAGAGGGGGTACTCAATTGTAAACAAACAAGATGGCAGCCTCCACGGGAAGGGTTTATGGTTATAGTTAGACATTATATGAGTCTACTTATTGCAGTAGGTTGGTGTTGCCTCTTGATATAAATTATATTATACTATTACTAGAGAGTAGAGTTTATTAGGAGATGGTGTATTTTCCATTCATTTAGGAGTTACTTTCGTGGATGAAGCTATAGGGGTTAAACAGTTGTTGAGATGAGAAAGAGTTCTGGTGCTCTATGGAGGTATGAAAAATTGTTAACATCTCTCTCTATATATATCTAAATCTAAATCCTTTAATAATGTTGGAAGTTGAAGTGATATTGTCATTTTAATTTTTAATTATATTTTGATTTATTTATTTCTTTTGTTTAAGTTTTTGATTTATTTGGTTCAGTTATTCTATAACAAAGAATGGCAATTTGAGTATGGATACAACATTATTCATCTGCGTATTAATGAATTTAATGCATTTTTATGATCATAAATAGGATTTAAATTGCTATGATTATGAGTATATTATCGCAACATAATGTTTTGATAATAATAATTTGATGGTTTAGTTAACTAGATATTCATGGTAAGTAGTGATATTGTCTTTGTTTTATATTCCAGCATTTGAGTAGAGGAAGCTGGTACCATTGTTTGTCTTCGTAGCAACAAATAGTTGTTAGCAGTCCTAGTTGGGTGAGTCAGGATGGTAGAGTGTAATAAATAGTTTTGAACACAAACATTATTTGATTCTTATTATTAACTCAATGAATATTAAAGGATCATTGACTTGGTTTTAAGTGATATACATTTATTGTTGGCTTATGCTTTGATAGAGTATAAGAGGATTTTCTTAATTTACTTTTGATTTCCAATTGTGTTTCATGAAGAGGTTTTGAACATGTATTTATTTATGTTCTTTCTTTTGTTATTTCCTTCTTTTGCAGAAGTTTGTCTTCTTTGTATCAAACTTAATACAGATTGGCGCAAGTGGGAAATAAAATTCCACTTCCAATCCTACAACTTCGAGTTGTGTCAGTGTGTTCTGGTAGTGCCTTCTTCCAGACACCCCCCCCCCCCCTCCTTCTCTCGAATACCAGACCATGTTCCAAACTACTGGGAGAAAAAAATAGACTTTTTCAAATCAATGACAGCCATTTCAAGGCATGAAAAAAATTGCAATTTGCAAAAAAGTTAGTACTGTGGCTCAATTATATACTGAACCATATGCAAATCTAAACCTCTCATTCCCAAAGTTAGCAAACATTTCTGATTTGTACAGTTTTTCTCCTTTGTTTTCTTCCAGGACCAGCTGTCAATGTGTAGTTCTCTCAGGAAGGATTCTTTTGATATTCAGAATTTTGGAGCTGAAATAGAGGAACCACAACGCCAAATGCTAAAAAGGAAACAGCAGTCTAGTTCTATTCAATTGATCTAAATCCGGTTCTTGTAGAATATGATGGTTTCAGATCAAACCAACAGAAAATAAGTGAGTTAGCTACTCAAGTGAATAATTCAACAGTCAATTTTGAGATGCAGTTAAACATTACCATGAACTGATCAGGAAACACTGAACATTCCTGTTTTGTGATAAAACCAACTGGTCATATATGTTCATTGAATGTCTGTCAAAATCCAGTAATCTTGACCAAGATTATTTTTTCTGGAAAGGAATTTGTCATGCACTAGGACGTTTCTCTAGTTGGTGACATTGTAACAGCAGTCGACCGATTCACATATTATGATGGACATGGACTTCAATCTTGCAGAGCACTAAGGCATTGCAAGTATTGCTTTGATGACATTACTTGAAACAGATTGGACCACTTGGAGGTTGTCATATTAAAGGTTAGCATATTGCTTCAAATAATACACTACAAATACAGTTCTACCAATCACTTTTTTCCTTCGATACGTTCATTTCTAACTTTTATTTTGTAAATTAGATTTCCCACAGACTGTAATATAAGGAATATGTCTTTAATCACAGATAACCATGTTAAAGTTTGGAAAGAAGGCTGTATTTAAATGCACTATGGCAAAATTCTTCCTTTCATCACAATACTTCTTGTAGATGGATACCAAGTTACGGCAGTATCCTTAATGCAAGGGCAAGAAGCAACCTTACATTTCCCATACCCATGTGACAGCACAGAAGTCACATTACAGCATTCGAACGGAGTCCCATTTTATAAATTGACAGATGGGTCAACGCTGTTGTTGCCTGGAGTTCAGCTCCATAGATTCAAAGTGCAGAATAGAAACAAAAATGGAAACTGCTCTCTGGATCTTACAATAACTAATCTAATGAGATTTGATGCAGGGAAATACATCTCATTGGTTTACAAGGACGGGCAGTCAATTGCTGATTACACAACAAGAGTTGAATTGCAAATAGACTATCCTCCTGGTAAGGCATCATGTGATGTGAGTGAAGAAAAGGGTGGAGACTGGGTCTCAATAGACTGTACAGCCAAGGTTGGGAGTCTATCAGGGAAGATTGAATGCTATCAGGATGGTGTATGGATTCCTCCCCTAACTGATCCTACTGAAACTGACACAACTTTGAAACAGAAGATAAACATTACAACAAATCAGCCAGTATTTTGTTGCTCTTCCGCTTTGATTGAGTACAAAGAAAGATGTGAATGTAATGATACTGCATTGTATCTAGATGATGCCATTATCAGTGACCCATGTCCAACCATATCAACAGAAACATCAACAATTTCTATTGACAAAACCCAAGATCTGGGCGAGAAAAGTCAGTCTTCGAACACTTCAAACTATACCTTACCATCACACACGACATCAACGAATGCCAACAAAATGTACAAACCCTTTTTGATAGCAATAATCATATATTATATTACGATAGCTAATCTGATCAGGATGTTCATACGGAATGCAATTCACTTCTATCAATTGAGGCAGGAACGCAAAAACAATAGTAATGATGAGTCACATAATTTGAAAGCAATAATCTTATATTATATTTCAGGGATTGGTCTGGCCATATTGATGATATTGAATACAATTTCCGTCTATCAAATGTGGCCGGAAAACAAAAATAATAGTAATGATAGTGAGTCACATAAGAAAGCAATATTCATATATGTATATTATATTTCCGCAACTGGTGTGATCATATTGTTCCTATTAAATTCATTTCAAAGTAATCAACTGATTCAGGAACGCAAACAAAATAGTAATGGTGAGTCACAAAAGCCTTTATTATCAGGAAATGTTCATTATCATATGCTCAACAATGCGAAACTGATAAATTAAATCAAATGATGATGCAGGAATTAGAAACTCACAAAACACAAAATATGCATAGGGAAAACAAATCATTAGACATATCATCCAATTAAAACTTTCAAGACATTTTAAGGAAAAATGAACTCTAAGCCTTCTGGTAAATCAATATCAGTGCAGCTTAATTCTTTACTACACATGATTAATTGAAGTATCACATTTGTAGATTTTGACACATAAACAAATATAAACGGCATTTGTTAATTATTATATTGTCTTTTTTTTCTCATTGAAACCTCGAAATGCAATATAGGTGTATTTTTTTTTCATCATCTAGAAAACCAACTTTTACTTATGGTAATAGTACACATGAATTATATAATCTCGAATTGAAATACAAGGTTTCTTTATTCCATCGTCTAAAAAACCAATGTCCACGTATTAACACTAGTAGTATAATCGCTTGTGCATCATAACTGTATTAAAGGATAAATCACCTGACTACACATCTTTGATCAAAGATTTGAATCCCAGCCCTGCACAAGTATGATCTCAATTTGCCACTCTTCACCCAGGTGTAAATGGGTTTGATATTTTGTTATGCTTGTATACAAGAAGCCAATATTACTATCATTATATTATCATAACAAGGATGTCAAAAAATTATCCGTAGTAGAACTTTTGATCAAAGCTTAAGTGCTAATATTGAAAAGGTATCACTTTCATAATTTGTAGTTATACTCTCATGTATTCTCAAATCCTTATAATTTGAGTTTCAGTCTATTAACCATCTTTACAGTTGTGCCAAAGTATGTTAGAGCCGTCTTTATTGAGTTGGTGACCTTCACAATAAAGAGTTACTTTAATACCAGGACATTTTGCAGGCATCTAATGTTTGCAAAATTATGCAAGTAGTTCAGTTTTGGGAAAGTGTCATGCTGTGAAATTATTGAATTATAACTGACACAACACTGAATTTGTGTAATTTGCAAAAGTTCCTTGCGTGAAAATTGCTGTCATTTACAATTCATTAAAAAGTTTTAAGCTGCAGATGTTTCCAGTTCTACAGTAGCCTTAACTATGAACAAAAAGGCTATTCGCATCAAGCATCAAGAAACTCCCCAAACCAAAGAGTGAATGCTGTCGTATTAATGTTTGTGTATAAAGGCTCACGTGAGTACAATGGCCTACCGTTAACTATTAAGCTATCCAACAGCTTAAAAACTTTTTGCAAAAATCTTAATTTAAGAAACTGCTCTGATCTGGCATGGAACATGCTTGGAATGGGGGGGGGGGTGTTTATGCTTCTCTAATATGTTTTAGGTTTTATATGTATTCAAATTATATCATTTTATGTTGTATTGTATGTTGTATAATAACTGTTGATATCTTAATTCCTGGACCCCAGGGAAGAACAGTTTTGTTTTACTAACAAAGCTGAATGGGTTATCCGGCCATTCACTATACCATTATATGTACATGCATTTTCTATGTATTGTTTTTAATATTGTGATATTGAAAATAAATACCAATGCCAATATCATTGTTGTTGTCTATCAAGAATTGTGATTGATCCAAATCAATTGCAAATCCTCCGATCAACCACAAGTTTGCAGTCTCCTATCTCTCATGTTCATAGTTGCAATTGATATCAACTCAGACGGGGCCTTGATCTTGCTCATTTTTGTTCGCATGCGTTGGCTTGACTTGGCTCTAAGACTTTGTAAGATATATTTTTTATGGGGCAGTGGTTCCATGTCTGGTGATAATACTTAAAACAAATTCCTTTCTCTGTGATTTTCTATATTACAAAAAGAAGAGCTTTGGATTTACCTTAGACTTTGTTTCGTAAAAAGCAAGTTCGTCACTTTGGATGAAACTTCGTAAGACTTGACTTCAAAACTTTGTAAAATATAGTCTGTATATGGGGCAGTGGTTCTATGTCTGGTGATAATATGGAAAAAATTGACCTTTCCTGTGATGTTGTATATTATGAAAAGATGAGCTATGAATTTACCTTAAATCTATTTTTTTAAAAGCAAGTTCGTCACTTGGATGGGACTTCTTAAGACTTGACTTTAAACCTTGTAAGATATAGTTTGTATGGGGCAGTGGTTCCATGCCTGGTGATAATATGAAAATAAAATTGACTTTGTGATTTTGTATATCACAAAAAAAGAGCTATGGATTTACCTTAAATCTATTCTTTTTAAAGCAAGTTCGTCACTTGGATGGGACTTCTTAAGACTTGACTTTAAGACTTTGTAAGATATAAGTTTTATGGTAGTGGTTCCATGTCTGGTGATAATATGAAAATATAATTGACTTTGTTTGTGATTTTGTATATCACAAAAAAGAAGGGCTATGGATTTACCTTAGAGTCTATTCTTTTTAAAGCAAGTTCGTCACTTGACTTTAAGACTTTGTAAGATGGGGCAGTGGTTCCATGTCTGGTGATAATATGAAAATAAAATTGACTTTGTTTGTGATTTTGTATATCACAAAAAAAGAAGAGCTATGGATTTACCTTAGAGTCTGTTTAAAGCAAGTTCGTCACTTGAATGAGACTTCTTAAGACTCGACTTTAAGACTATGGAAGATATAAGTTTTATGGTAGTGGTTCCATGCCTGGTGATAATATGAAAATATAATTGACTTTGTTTGTGATTTTGTATATCACAAAAAAGAAGGGCTATGGATTTACCTTAGAGTATATTCTTTTTAAAGCAAGTTCGTCACTTGGATGGGACTTCTTAAGACTTCACTTTAAGACTTTGTAAGATATAAGTTTTATGATAGTGGTTCCATGTCTGGTGATAATATGAAAATATAATTGACTTTGTTTGTGATTTTGTATATCACAAAAAAGAAGGGCTATGGATTTACCTTAGAGTATATTCTTTTTAAAGCAAGTTCGTCACTTGAATGAGACTTCTTAAGACTCGACTTTAAGACTATGGAAGATATAAGTTTTATGGTAGTGGTTCCATGCCTGGTGGTAATATGAAAATATAATTGACTTTGTGATTTTGTATATCACAAAAAAGAAGGGCTATGGATTTACCTTAGAGTATATTCTTTTTAAAGCAAGTTCGTCACTTGAATGAGACTTCTTAAGACTCGACTTTAAGACTATGGAAGATATAAGTTTTATGGTAGTGGTTCCATGCCTGGTGATAATATGAAAATATAATTGACTTTGTTTGTGATTTTGTATATCACAAAAAAGAAGGGCTATGGATTTACCTTAGAGTATATTCTTTTTAAAGCAAGTTCGTCACTTGGATGGGACTTCTTAAGACTTCACTTTAAGACTTTGTAAGATATAAGTTTTATGATAGTGGTTCCATGTCTGGTGATAATATGAAAATATAATTGACTTTGTTTGTGATTTTGTATATCACAAAAAGAAGGGCTATGGATTTACCTTAGAGTATATTCTTTTTAAAGCAAGTTCGTCACTTGAATGAGACTTCTTAAGACTCGACTTTAAGACTATGGAAGATATAAGTTTTATGGTAGTGGTTCCATGCCTGGTGGTAATATGAAAATATAATTGACTTTGTGATTTTGTATATCACAAAAAAGAAGGGCTATGGATTTACCTTAGAGTATATTCTTTTTAAAGCAAGTTCGTCACTTGAATGAGACTTCTTAAGACTCGACTTTAAGACTATGGAAGATATAAGTTTTATGGTAGTGGTTCCATGTCTGGTGATAATATGAAAATAAAATTGACTTTGTTTGTGATTTTGTATATCACAAAAAGAAGAGCTATGAATTTACCTTAAATCTATTCTTTTTAAAGCAAGTTCGTCACTTGAATGAGACTTCTTAAGACTCGACTTTAAGACTATGGAAGATATAAGTTTTATGATAGTGGTTCCATGTCTGGTGATAATATGAAAATATAATTGACTTTGTTTGTGATTTTGTATATCACAAAAAAGAAGGGCTATGGATTTACCTTAGAGTCTGTTTAAAGCAAGTTCGTCACTTGAATGAGACTTCTTAAGACTCGACTTTAAGACTATGGAAGATATAAGTTTTATGGTAGTGGTTCCATGTCTGGTGATAATATGAAAATATAATTGACTTTGTTTGTGATTTTGTATATCACAAAAAAAGAAAGGCTATGGATTTACCTTGAATCTATTCTTTTTAAAGCAAGTTCGTCACTTGGATGGGACTTCTTAAGACTTCACTTTAAGACTTTGTAAGATATAGTTTGTATGGGGCAGTGGTTCCATGTCTGGTGATAATATGAAAATAAAATTGTATTTCTCTGTGATTTCGTATATCATAAAAAGGAGAGTTTTGGATTTACCTTAGAGTTTATTTTGTAAAAACCAAGTTCGTCAATAATTGGTTGAAACTTTGTAAGACTTGAGAACACTTCACATTATGATTTGCATTTTGTTTGATATTACATGTTTTTTTGTGAGGATCATTTTTATCAAGCCAATTATGTTCCTTCCATGATCCTCCCACTTTAGATATTTCGTCACATATGTTTGTATTTTGAATATCATATATTATTGTATTCATCTTGAAGTAGAAATAAATTATTGCAATGAAATGATATAAATGAATTGTAATACTTGTATTTATTACTTTCGTATGTACACCTGTTTATTAAATGGATACGGGCTAACTCATTTAATAGAGTAATTAGCAGACAGACTCAGGCGCGTACGCAGGGGGGGGGGTTAACCCCCCCCCCCCTTTTGATTTTTTGTTTTTTTTAATTAAAAAAAAAATATTATGCCAATGGCTGACCCAAAACAGGTGACCTAACCCCCCCCCCCCCCCCCCCCCCCCACGGAACAAAATGTCAAATTTTCAAATTTCGAGACAAAAAAAAGAAAATAAAGTGTCCTCTTACTCAACCTCACCCTGAAAGCCGAAGAACCACAGGAAAACATAAGTGAAAATTCGAAATATATTGAATACAAAATGAGAAAGTATAATTTCCCCCCCCCCCCAAAAAAAAAAATAGCTCACTACAAATATGGGGACCTAATCGTAATTCAGTCATAATACATGATGTCATACAGGAAAACTCCTGAATTTTCTTTCAAATATAAATGTATA